CCATCGGGACTATGACTCTGTGATTCTGTAACTTGTTTGAACACCCCACCTATGCTTTAGTGACTATATGAATGATCTGGAAATTTTGCATAACAACTCGCTATTATGTGTCACTAAGGAACTTTGTATGATACATTATTGTGTACTGTGTGCCTACATGAAAGTGTTATTTGGAAACTGCTATGGCTCCGTTTGGTAGAGCTGTGGGATAGTGATTATAGCTTATAGTTTAACAGCTTATAGCTTATAACTGTGAACATAAACTGATTTTTGACTTATAAATTAAGTTTCTTCTCCCTCACTCAAATAATAAGTTGATTTTTGACTTACAAAAAGTTATAAGCTGTATTGTTAAGCTCAACCAAACACATCAAAATAGCTTAAATTAAGCTAAAAGTTGAAATAAGCTAGAAATAAGCCCTACCAAATAGGGCCTATATTGACTATGATACTTACCTCTTAATATGAACAACTGCAAGCCTGTGCACCTACATGTGAACTTATTTGGAGAATGCCACATTGTATATGACCTGAAACACTTTGATATGAACTATCATGATACATGACTCTGATGTGATTTTGAGAACTAATGAACTTAGAACAACTGTGGAACTATTGATTATGTACCTAAGCGAATGGAGTATCAACTATAAAACCAAATGTACTTCATTTGAAAATCATGGGGATGGAGCTTTTATCTTATCTGATCTGATAGAACTTTGTTTGAACTAATAGAACTTTTGTTTGATTACACACACTCTGAACTTTTGTTTGATCTGACCGGATAGAACTTTCATCTGATGTGATCCGATAGGACTTTCATTTAATTTGATCTAAAGAGACCGTTACCTATGTTGAGAACCACTATCTGATTTGATTACGTTATGGGGGGATTATGAATCATTTATGACTAAATGACCATGTTGTGTTGCTAAGGGAACTAATCGACAGAGAACTTGAATCAATTTTGAACACCTATGAAGAATGTGAACTGTCAATAGTAGACTGTGCGATTATATACAGCTTTTAACCATATGCTTATAACTGATTAGGAACACACGCAAATGAGATTATACGATTTGGTAATTTATGCTCTGGGAATACTGTATGTATGACACGTGATTAATTGCTCTAGTATCACCGTTACTACCATGAGATTGTTTGATTTACAGAATAATTGCTTTTGTATTACTGTACTTAGAATTTGATAGTATAGGACTTGTTGACTGCAGACTAGTTTGATTGTAAACCTTGACTACTTGGAAGTATATGAAATCGGTATATTCTATGGATGACTGCTCTGTGTCAACGTGTAATACAATTGAATCTGTCGAAACTGAGGCTGATGAACAATATGTGAATGATTACTTCAGAATTGCGTTTACTGCTATGGGGTTAATACACGAATTTGCCTTGTATTCCCGATAACTTCTGGATGACTTCGAATATCCGTGAGGGATTGTTGAATCAGATACTAAATTGAACTGTAAATCATTGAATGATTGGGATATGAATCAAATCTCTATAACAAGCTAAATGAAAGGAAACCACCTACAAAAAATAGAAAACGGTATGAACCTATGACATCTGATCAGCACCTGATATATATATATATATATATATGGTAACTCAAGTTTGGAGGACCAAACTTCTTAAGGTGGGGAGACTGTAACAATCCCGATCCGTAATTAATTACTAATCCATAATTAAGGATGTTAATTAAGGGATTAAAATAAATCATTTGTTTATTGTGTATTTTGTATGCCATTTGGCTTTTTATCTGTTACTCGTAGAAATATCTGTTTGGAATTCTACATTGATTTGAAAATTGAAAGTTTTATCGGCATCCAAAACCAGAATTGGTTACATCAATATGTTATTCAAAATTTTTAGAATCATATGGAAAATTTTATTAAAAATTGATTCAGTTTGATTAATTAAGTTTCGTTTGGCAAGTCTAATGTTTTAATTAATATAATAAGCAATTATATATATATAAATGTGTTTTGTTTGAGCCTTTAGCTCATTTGCGAACTCAACTCCACCAATTTGAGAGAAAATATGAAAATCAAGTTTTAGAGAGAGAGAGAGAGAGCTCACTTGTAGAGAGAGAAAGTGTATATGTGTAGAGAACTTGAAGATCATTGCTTGTAGGATCAAGATTGTGCAAGAATCTAACTAATTAAAGACTCTAGGTAAGTTGTTGGTCATCAATTCTTGTAGATGATGTGTTTTAATGTTGAACCAATGGAGTTAACATGATCTCTTGCATGTATTTTGTTATAGAAGACCAAGATAGAGTTGAATCTATACATGTATCTATATATATATAAGTGTTAGACTATCATTTTGATTATGAGCTTCATCATCTATGTTGAGTTTAGAGCATGAAATGAACATGCATATATATTAGACTAAGTTTTGTAAGTGAATTCCATGTTTATAAAGTTTTAGAAAGGAATTAGGAAAAGAATTCTACATACATGCATAAACATGTTGAATTTTGCTATGTCAAGTTTGATTTTGACCATTTATGTAGAAATTATGGGTAATTGGCACATGCATGTTTGACTCATGTTTGAATCATCACAATTTACCTCTTCAAATCATGTTTTGAAAAAGAGTTTTGGACATGCATGGAACTTAGGGCTCAAGTTTGTTAAAAACATGGGATTTGAGAAAAAAGGTTTATAAAACTTACATGCATGGGAATTTTGAGCCCAATTTTGGTTAAATTCATGAGTTTTGAGCAAAGGGTTTGTAAAGGATCATGTATTCATGTTTATGGATAAGTTTTCAAGATTTAAAGACAAGCCATGCATGAGTTTTGCCTTTGAATTTGCAATTAGAAGCCCAAGACTCTGTTTTGAAAGCCCAGAAAATTTGCAAACCGCTTGAGCGATGGATTTGCCACTCGAGCGAACATTTTGAACATTCAGTAGTTTTTAGTCTTTTATAGACTGCTCGAGTGACCACTTGGTGGCTCCAACGAACCCTTTGTATGTTCACGGACCGCTCGAGCGTAAGAGTTGTTCGCTTGAGCGTATTTTTCACCCATCCAGTACTTTTGCAGGCAGAGTAGTCCACTTGAGCAACCAAAGGTGCGCTCGAGCGGCTAGGTCAAATTCAACATATTTTTGAAGGATATTCGGTGTTCATATTTTCATTCCCATCCTTTTCTTAGCGTACTTAGGCATGATTTATGAGTCATTAAAGAGTATTAAGCTAAGAAATGACTTGAGTAATTGAATTAGAAAGTATGAGACAAATCCAAGAATGTGATTCACGTGTACAAATTATGAGAAATGGACTGACTAAGAAACCAATGTAACGAAAGCTAAGTCGTGATGGCCATATGAATATGTAATGATGAGACATGTTTTGTGCTATGTACTTTTGTGTTTGTAGGTCAACGTTCGAAGATTGATTGACCGTTTTTGAAAGCCCACTGTGAGTAATGTTTTTGTAAAGATATATTCATATGAATTACGTTCCAAATGTGATTTGATAAGTTATGATTTTTGAAATGATATTTGTTTATGTGAACGAATGTTCTATGTTTGAAATCTATTATGGCAACCATAGGTAGTTCCAAGTCATGGGGGACGACATGTTAATGAGAGTCTATGACATATATGTGATTATGAGATCTCGTTAGCCACTTCATTATGGTGATATGTGTTTAATCGGTATCCAGAACCGATTACTCTAGCTGAAAAAGATGTGATATGTTCTATGGGATGTACCATTATTATGTTTGGATATGAGAATTGATTCTGTTATGATCTATTTTATGATATGTTTAGAATTCGTTCACTAACCTCTTTAACCTAATGTTATTAAGTGAGCTTTAGCACACTGTTTGTATATATATATATATATATATGTAGGTAAGCGTGTACAAGACCAGGCCTAAGGGCTTCTATCTGACTTCTGTTTTGTCAAGCCAACCATCGTGCCTCATGATCACGTCTACTGGCGTCTGCATTGACGACAGTAGATCAGAATACTCTTGATATAATCAAGAAAACCAAGACGCTGATAATCAAGTTTACAGAATTTGATTACCAATAAAAAAAAGCAAAAATTTGCTTAAGAAAAACTCTTGATCGAAAATTCTAAATCAAGAGGGAGAGAGAATTGCAGGAATGCTATTGCTTTATGAAATTTGGATGGATTAAAATGGCTGATTTCGCAACCTATTTATAGGCCTTGATGCGTCTGATCGAATAGAATGGTCATGTCCCTTGATCGCATTCAATTAGATCTAACTGTTGGATTGACAATCTATGGTGTAGATCATTCTTCCACCGAATAGATGCGTTGATTGATCATACCTGGTCACGATCGGGTGCCATCTCATCTGTATATCACTCCAACCTATCCATGCTAAGTGCAAAGTGCGCCATCAAACACCACACAACCCACTGCCCACGCCAAGCGCACATGGTGCACCATCATTCCGGTGTAAATGCATGTACACTAGCATTCATCCTACAATTTCATATTTAAAGGAATATTTCGTTTAACACTTTATTAAGTATGCATGTTTTTCTCTCTTTCCGATGTGGGACAAAATCCCCAAACTTATTTCAAGCCTTTCAAAAAAAAAAAATAAAGATTTTGAACCACTCAAAAACTAAATAATTAATTTTGAAAAGCCATTTGGAAAATTCTCCAACAGATGTGACACACTACTTGCTCCTTCTAGATTCAACCTCCATTTCCAAACGTCTCCGAATATAAAATTTTGCAATTCTACAATCCTATTTGACCAGAATAAAATACACAACATTAAAAGGTTTTGTAGACAGAAAAAAAAATATTCTTTTTTAAATGCAACCCCCATCTCCTCCAATATATAAATCCTCTAACCAACTACTTCTCTTCCAAGCTACCTGACCACAGTTTCTCATTTCCAAACACATTACAAAAAATCTCCTCCAATATATATAAAGCCTCTAACCAACTACTTCTCTTCCAAACTACGTGACCACAGTTTCTCATTTCCAAACACATTACAAAAAAAAAAAAAAAAAAACATTACAAATTGAGTTCGGTCTATCTGTGGAGGTGAGATATATAAGTGCAGTTTTGAATATTTGAGTGAATTTTCTTTGAAATGGCTGCCCCATTCGCGGCAGATGAATTGGTGAGAGCGGCGAGTAGTAGGGCGAGTAGGAGCTGGAAGTCTGGGAGTATAAGGGAGGTATGGCAGGGATCATCGGAGGTGTTCGAGGGAAACAGTACGAGGCGGCAGGAGGTGGATGATGAGGAGGAGTTGAAATGGGCTGCCATTGAGAGGTTGCCGACTTATGATCGGGTGAGGAGAGGGATGTTACTGCAGGTGACGAGCAATGGTAGAGTCATTCGGAATGAGGTTGATATGACTAATCTTGATACTCAAGATAAGGAGCAGCTCATGGAGAGCATTCTTAGAGTTGTTGAAGATGACAATGAGAAGTTTCTTAATCGCCTCCGAGATCGTACCGACAGGTTTTTTTTTTTTTTTATCTCTCTCTATTTAATTCAAGTTTGACAGGATTTGAAAATGAATTAGCGTTTGGTTGATGAGAAAATGATGGAAAAGGATAAGAAAGTGATAGTTTGGATTGGATCATAGTTTGTTTAAACGGATTAGTGAAAAAGAAGAAACGAGTTGGTCTTAACTTGTCAAATAAGTTAAAATTTTGAAATCTCCTTGAATCAACTCAATTAAATAAACCAATCACACTTAAGTTTGACCCCACACACACAAACACACAAAAAAAAATGCAAAGTATGAAGGAGTTATCAATAAATTTAAGTAATCAAATATGTAATTAAATATGTAAATTTGTATAAACACAAATATGAATAAAGAAATAAAAAAAAATTAAAAATATATATTGATATATCATTAAAATAAATATTAATTTATATATTATTATTTTCACAAACTCGGTTTTATTAATAATAGTCAAATGAACATCATACACTTATAAAAGTGTATAAATAAAACATAATTGCAATTGATCCCAAAAAAAATCATGAATCTTATATTCATTTTTAGGGTTGAGCATGGTTCTGATTGGTTTAGATTAAGATAAAATCAGGATCAATCTGTTATTTACAGTTTGTGAAAAATTAAAACCAATTCAATCCGTTTAAATCGTGGAACCAATTCGTTTAAACATGGATTGGATCAATTTAGGACTATGGATTCATATAATTAAATAATAAAAAATATATAGAATATTTTAATTTTATAAAAATATAAACATAGCATTAAACAAAAGTAACAAACAAAAGCAACAAACAAAAGCAATAAAACTGAATACACATTACACAAAGCAGAGTTCTCCTCTGTATTAAAACTAAACATAGCATCAAACAAAAATAATAATAAAACTGGTTTTAAACAAACAAAAGCAACAAAACTCCATGAACAAAAGCAACAAACAAACAAAAGCATAGCACTAGCAACATAGAATAAGGGTTTAGCTTTTATTAGGGGTGTAATTTTGGTCCATGGCCCGTGGGTGGCCCGAAGCCCGTCCACGGCCCGAGGTGGGCCTGGCCCGTTTAGGCCCAAGCCCAAGACCAGTCCGAGGCCTTGGGCCAAGGCCTGGGCCATCGTTTTGAAGCCCAGCCCATCGACCCGTTCAAGGCCCGCCCAAAAGCCCGGCCCGAGCCCAAGGTCCAATATTATTTTTAATGAAAATAAATAAATTTTTGGTGAAAAAAATTTAAGAAAAAATTAAAAAATTGTTTAGGCCCGCCCAGGCCCAAGCCCAAGCCCAAGGGCCCGACCCACTGGCCTTCCCAGAGCCCGAATATCCTTAGGCTTGGGCCTAGTTTTCTAGCCCGATATTTTGACGGGAACCCGCAAGGCCCGACATGGGATGGGCCGGGCCAAAATTACACCCCTAGCTTTTATATGGAATAAGAAATGATATTATGTGGGAGGGGTCTATAGTATAAATATAGACTATTTGTATACGGCCCGGATCGATTCTAATCCGAAACCATAGAGTTCAATTCGGAACCGATCCGTGGCTTATGAATTTTTGAATTTCCAATCACGGATTCAAAAAACTAATCCAAACCTACCGAATTGAACTGAACCGGATCGACCCGTCCAAGCCCGGCCCATCGACCCGTTTAAGGCCCGCCCAAAAGCCCGGCCCGAGCCCAAGGTCCAATATTATTTTTAATGAAAAATAATAAATTTTTGGTGAAAAAAATTTTAAAAAAAATTAAAAAATTGTTTAGGCTCGCCCAAGCCCAAGGGCCCGACCCACTGGCCTTCCCAGAGCCCGAATATCCTTGGGCTTGGGCTTAGTTTTCTGGCCCGATATTTTGACGGGAACCCGCAAGGCCCGACATGGGATGGGCCGGGCCAAAATTACACCCCTAGCTTTTATATGGAATAAGAAATGATATTATGTGGGAGGGGTCTATAGTATAAATATAGACTATTTGTATACGGCCCGGATCGATTCTAATCCGAAACCATAGAGTTCAATTCGGAACCGATCCGTGGCTTATGAATTTTTGAATTTCCAATCACGGATTCAAAAAACTAATCCAAACCTACCGAATTGAACTGAACCGGATCGACCCGTCCAAGCCCGGCCCATCGACCCGTTTAAGGCCCGCCCAAAAGCCCGGCCCGAGCCCAAGGTCCAATATTATTTTTAATGAAAAATAATAAATTTTTGGTGAAAAAAAATTTTAAAAAAATTAAAAAATTGTTTAGGCCCGCCCAGGCCCAAGCCCAAGCTCAAGGGCCCGACCCACTGGCCTTTCCAGAGCCCGAATATCCTTGGGCTTGGGCCTAGTTTTCTGGCCCGATATTTTGACGGGAACCCGCAAGGCCCGACATGGGATGGGCCGGGCCAAAATTACACCCCTAGCTTTTATATGGAATAAGAAATGATATTATGTGGGAGGGGTCTATAGTACAAATATAGACTATTTGTATACGGCCCGGATCGATTCTAATCCGAAACCGTAGAGTTCAATTCGGAACCGATCCGTGGCTTATGAATTTTTGAATTTCCAATCACGGATTCAAAAAACTAATCCAAACCTACCGAATTGAACTGAACCGAATCAAATTACGAATTATACAATTTCTTCCTCAACCCTATTCATTTTGAAGACAAGAAAATTTTCATTTTATTCATACATTTTGAAAGTATAAGAACAAAATTTGACAACATCCATAAGTGGTGACTTGCTCTACTTCTATTTTTACTTTTTTATTTATTTTATTGAAGTTAAATTGAGTGTTGGGTTTGGATGAAAACAGAGTGGGAATAGAAATTCCAAAGATTGAAGTGAGGTTCCAGAATTTATCAGTGGCAGGAGATGCCTATGTTGGGTCCAGAGCTCTTCCAACTCTCCTCAATTCCACCATGAATGCTATTGAGGTACTACTACATTCCTCTTCTGTTTCTCACACCCATTTTTGTTTGTTTGTTTTTTTTTTTTTTTCCCCATACGAATTCAGTCAGATTCACACTTTGTTCAACTTCAAGATGCAATTCAAATTACTCTTTGATATCTTGTGAATTTTGAAATGGCTGTTTGGGTATAAAAAAATAAAGAAAATAAAAATAAAAAAAAGCACAGAGTTTTGTTCTTAGTTTACAATTTCACAGAAATTATCACCAAAAGCACATGTAAAATTCAAATATCTGCTGTGTGGATTGAAAACTATGCAGAAAATTTGCTTATTTTCTCTTAAAAAACTTTCTATGAGTGTAGTGTATCATCTTAAATTTAATAATGTGATATCTGAAGATTGTTCTCTTTATGTTGAATTGTAATGTGAGTAGGGAATCATTGGAATTGTTGGGCTTTCTCGATCTAAGAAATGGGTTGTCAAGATACTTCACGATGTCAATGGAATCATAAAACCATCCAGGTTGGTTCATGAATTCCTCAAGTTTAGATTAATGCTACTTGATTGATTGATCTACTGGAAACTAGAAAGTTTTGGTCTCCAAAAATATAATCCAAATGCCTTCATTATATTTTTTTTCTTTGTGATTTTAGAAATGAACACAATATAAAATTCAAAACACCTATAGTTTTCATTTTGTGCTAAAACAGTTTTTGAAATTTTTCTAGAAAAGGGGTTGTTTCTAAAAAAAAATTATCAAAAGATTTTTTGCCAAACAAGTTTCTATGCTTTCGAGAAAATGAAAATAGAAAATAAAAAACTAAAGCACAACCAACTAGACATTTTCTCAAATATCCTTCAATCATTAAATGATTATTTTTTTGTTTGTCAGGATGACACTGCTTCTTGGGCCACCTGGCTCCGGAAAAACGACATTGCTAAAGGCACTCACAGGGAAATCTGATGACAATCTAAAGGTTTGTCATGCTCTCTAAATTCTCCCATTTGTTTCTCTCCCCAATTTTCTGTTTCGTTCCATGTATTTGTTTTCCTACATGGTATTTTTTTCAACATATTGATAATTTTATTATATTGGGATTGTGGACAGATATCTGGAAAAGTCACCTACTGTGGTAGAGAGTTTAAGGAATTTGTTCCACAGAGAACGAGTGCTTATATCAGCCAGCACGATCTTCACTATGGTGAAATGACTGTTCGCGAGACATTAGATTTCTCTGGACGTTGCTTGGGAGTTGGAATGAGGTATGAAATGCTGGTAGAGTTGTCAAGACGAGAGAAAGAAGCAGGTATTAAGCCCGACCCTGAGATCGATGCGTTCATGAAAGCCACAGCTGTGTCTGGCCAAGAAACCAGTTTGATTACAGAATATGTTCTCAAGGTCTGTTGCTTCCATAATTACATTGTCAAGCTTGTATATTATGTTCTCTTATTTGACAAGGCTAAAATCTTATCATCCTTTAACAGATACTTGGATTGGATATTTGTGCTGATATTATGGTGGGTGATAACATGAGAAGAGGCATTTCTGGTGGACAAAAGAAGCGTGTCACTACCGGTATGTGTAAACTCAATAAAGAGTTTTGATAAATGTTATAGAAAGAAATTCATGGATGGATATTGATCCTTGCCATTTCCTAGACTGGATGAAGATTTCTATTTTATTTCATAAGGTTGCAACTCGACATCAAAATCTAAAAGCAACAGTCTACAACTACTACAACAATATAAGTTCTAAATTTTTTCTTATGCATTTTTAAATTTAAAATAAAGATATGTTGAGGTTAATCTTTCGTGACCATTGATCATGAAATCAAGATTTTAAACCCAAAGTGGGCTATGTGTGCTATGGTCTCAAAAACAAAGAAGTTCAATAAATTTTTCCTCAAGAGGGCACAAATCATCCTATTGTGTATTTTAACTATGTAACTATTTTATAATATTCTAACTGGAACTTCAGGATATGTATCTTGTGGTTTAGGTCAAACTCATCCTATTATGTTTTTACTTCATATCTATTTTCTGAATGTTCTGTCCTGAATGCAGGAGAAATGTTGGTTGGACCAGCAAAAGCGTTTTTCATGGATGAAATATCGACAGGGCTGGACAGTTCCACCACTTTACAGATTGTTAAGTTCATGAGGCAAATGGTTCATACAATGGATGTGACCATGGTCATCTCACTATTGCAGCCAGCACCTGAGACATTTAATCTCTTTGATGACATTATCCTACTTTCAGAAGGCCAGATTGTGTATCAAGGTCCACGCGAGAATGTTCTTGAGTTCTTTGAATATATGGGATTCAAATGCCCTGAAAGGAAAGGAATTGCAGATTTTCTCCAAGAAGTGACTTCCAAGAAAGACCAAGAACAATATTGGTTAAAAAAGAACCAACCTTACAGATATGTCTCGGTGAATGACTTTGCACAGGCCTTCAACTCTTTCCACATTGGGCAAAAGATGTCTGAAGACCTTAGAATTCCTTATGACAAGTCCAAAGCCCACCCTGCTGCATTGGTGACAGAAAGTTATGGCATCTCCAATCTGGAACTCTTCAAGGCATGTTTCTCGAGGGAGTGGCTACTGATGAAGCGCAACTCTTTTGTATACATATTCAAAACTATTCAGATAACAATCATGGCCACAATTGCAATGACAGTTTTCTTAAGAACAGAGATGAAAACTGGAACGGTAGAAGGTGCTTCGAAGTATTTCGGATGGGCGGGATCCCAGATCCCAACACAAAGCCCACCCTGCTGCATTGGTGACAGAAAGTTATGGCATCTCCAATCTGGAACTCTTCAAGGCATGCTTCTCGAGGGAGTGGCTACTGATGAAGCGCAACTCTTTTGTATACATATTCAAAACTATTCAGATAACAATCATGGCCACAATTGCAACGACAGTTTTCTTAAGAACAGAGATGAAAACTGGAACGGTAGAAGGTGCTTCGAAGTATTTCGGAGCATTGATTTTCAGTCTTATTAATATAATGTTCAATGGGATGGCGGAGCTTCCAATGACAGTTTTCAGGCTTCCCGTGTTCTTTAAACAGAGGGATAGCTTGTTTTTCCCTGCATGGGCTTTTAGCTTGCCAATTTGGCTCCTCCGAATTCCCGTGTCATTCATGGAATCTGCGATATGGATCGTACTTACCTATTACACAATTGGGTTTGCACCGTCTTTTACTAGGTAAGTTGAAGTTCTTTTACAACATCTTAAGATTTGTTTTATTGGCTTGACAATCACTGGACTCCGAAAGCTAATTATCTTTTTTTTGACATATCTTCAAAATGTTCAGGTTTCTCAAACAGTTTCTGGCCTTCTTCAGTGTAACATCAGACGGCTCTCTCTCTCTTCCGATTCCTTGCGGGTGCTGGAAGAACCCCGGTTTGCAAACACAATGGGTTCCTTCACCTTGCTATTGGTTTTCGTGCTTGGAGGCTTCGTTGTTTCAAAAAATGACATTAAACCATGGATGATATGGGGCTACTATGTTTCTCCTATGATGTATGGACAAAATGCCATTGCGATAAATGAATTTCTCGATAAAAGATGGAACACTGTAAGTACTTCTCTTAACTCTTTGTAATAATTCAACATTTATTTTCCAGTAGGACAATATACGAGCTTATTTAATTTTATATTTTTTCTTGGAACAGCCCATTATTGGTGGTCTCGAGCCTACAATTGGAAAGATTATTCTCAAGGGTTTCTACCAGGAGGAATATTGGTACTGGATTTGTATTGGAGCGCTTCTTGCTTATTCACTGCTTTTTAATGGTCTTTTCATTGCTGCACTGACGTACTTAAATCGTAAGTCTACATTTCTTGCATATTCATTCTGTGTTGTTTATGTTGTTGCAAAAGAATTCATATTCTGATCTTTTCCATTTTTCTTGTTAAACAAATTGTATCTCAGCTTTTGGAGATTCTAAGGCTGTAATTTCAGAAGAGGAAGATGATCAAAACAATAGTAGGCGGCAACTGGCATCCAACGGTGAAAGTTCGTGGCTTTGAGTTTTGCATCTTGCAAACCCTAATTTGGTAATTCACCATTCATTCTGTTTTCTTGCTCAACTAATTCAACTCATGGGTAATTACAGGTATTGATTTGGCTGTAAGAAATCCTCAAGGGAGCGCCAGGTCAATTGTAAATGGAGCAGATCAAGCTAAAAGAGGAATGGTTTTGCCTTTCGAGCCCCTTTCACTTACATTTGACCATGTGAATTACTATGTGGATATGCCTGCAGTAAGTCTCTGCAACCCAGAGATTCATATTTTGAGAATATGATAACATAACACAAAATTTCCAAAGGAAAATTAAAAATTGACATGAATTTAAGTAATACTAATTTGTTTGCACTTTTGGTTGTAATTAGAAAATATTTCAATTCAACTTTTTGCTATTTAAATAAGTTTATCAATATTTTTAAAGTTCCAATCCATCATGTAGCAAAATTAAAAGTAGGTTCTCTATATCAGGAAATGAAGAGTCAGGGAATCGAAGAAAATCATCTGCGATTGTTACGGGATGTCAGTGGTGCTTTCAGGCCTGGTATTCTAACAGCACTAGTTGGTGTCAGTGGTGCTGGAAAGACCACATTGATGGATGTGTTAGCGGGGAGAAAGACCGGAGGGTATATTGAAGGAAACATAAGCATTTCTGGTTACCCAAAGAATCAAGAAACTTTTGCTCGAGTCAGTGGTTATTGTGAACAGAATGACATCCATTCACCATTTGTTACTGTCCATGAATCTCTCTTATACTCTGCCTGGCTGCGTCTTTCTAAGGATGTGAAGACAGAAACAAAACAGGTATGTAACTGAATTGCTTGAGTGTGTGCCACTATGAGATTTCAATGTGGTCTATATTAATGCGAAATTTTTTGTTTCTTTGTTATGGTAGATGTTTGTGGCAGAAGTTATGGATCTTGTTGAGCTCAATACCTTGAAAAATGCTCTAGTTGGACTTCCAGGAGTAAATGGTCTTTCAACTGAACAGCGAAAGAGGCTCACCATTGCTGTTGAGTTGGTTGCTAATCCCTCCATCATCTTTATGGATGAGCCCACATCAGGCCTTGACGCAAGAGCTGCTGCAATTGTCATGCGTACTGTGAGGAACACGGTGGACACAGGGCGAACTGTCGTCTGCACCATTCATCAACCGAGCATAGATATCTTTGAAGCTTTCGATGAGGTATGAACTCGATTTTATTTTTTCTGCAAATGAACATCATCGTCTCTTTGTGCTTTCTGATTGACATTAATATTTTCTTCCTTGCGGCTTCTATTGATGAAGAGAGGAGGGAATGTGATATATGCTGGACCTCTCGGTCGCCATTCTCACAAACTTGTTGAATATTTTGAGGTCAGTTTTCATTTTTCCTCCATAGCTAGTTTCTAAAGAGTCATCTATTATCAATTTGAAAGTTCGAAATATGATGAATCAATTCCTTCTCCTGAAGGCTGTTCCGGGGGTTCCTAAGATTGCAGAGGGTTACAATCCAGCTACTTGGATGTTGGACGTCAGCTCTACTTCAGTTGAGGCACAACTTGATGTTGACTTTGCAGAAATTTATGCCAATTCTGGCCTCTACCAGTATGTTTATAGACAGTACTGAGTCCTTTACACTTTATCACTGTCTCTCTCTCTCTCTCTCGTTATCCCAATATGGTGGAGGTGGTACTATTGGTGTTCTCCAGTTGCCTGGACAATCTATGGCATTTTCACATCACAAGTGGGTGACAAGACCAGTCCTCTTACTTTGACTGATGGATCAGGCACTACAGTGAAGGAATTCCTTAAAAGCAGCATGGGTTTTGATTATGACTTCCTCATTCCTGTAGTATTTGCGCATGTTGGTTGGGTCCTCCTCTTCTTCTTCGTCTTTGCTTATGGCATCAAGTTCCTCAACTTCCAAAGGAGATAGAGAAACTTCATTCTACTCTGAACACTGTAATAGAATTTTTAGATATTATTTCAAAGATGAGTGCAAACTAGTTTAGTTTATGAGAGAGGTGAAAAGAAAACCATAGCCTCTCTTGGTTTTTTCTTTTCTGTGGTTTTTTTGTGTGGATTCCTTTTTAGCATATTTATATCTATTCGTTGAATGTAATTTTCCCAAAAAGTTCTCTGTTGTACCTTATGGTCAATATTTAATACAAGTTGCTTCTGTCAACGCTACCTCTATGCTTTCTTGGAAATGATAGGGAGGTTCATTCCCTCTCCTATGTGTATTACCACAATAGACATCTATGGATTTCATTTTTGTTATTGGTGTGGTACCAAGACCACATGAGTCATGATCATGAATCCTTTATGCTCAATGATCTATGTTCCAATGCACTTCCCGTCAAAAGATTATGACTCAAGTTTTTTGTGTCGTACTATTGTGAGTCTGCAACAAGAAATGCAAGGGATGGAGGGATCAAAGAAACTTGAGGATAGAGAATCCCGTGCAGAATGCATTCCTTGAACAGAACACATTGGACTTCTTTGTACCTGCTGTTTTCTTTGTTTTTGCTCTTGGCATTACGTTTCTAAACTTGAAGGATATAGAAAACCTTCATTTCACTCAATATTTGGATTTACTCATTGCAAAAGGATGAATGTATAAAATATTAGTTTAATTTTTTTTAATAAAAGTGGAGAAAAGATAACTGTAGCCTTTCTTTAGAAGTACAGAGTGGCTTCACTCACTGCATTTAAATAAACAACAAAATTGCACATTTACAAAGTGTTATCATTGTACTTTATATAGATTTCAATATGAAACCTTAAATTTTATAACATTTTTAAACGATGGATAAATGTTTTTTCAAAGCAGTTTGAAATTATGGCAAAAATATTTGAATGACATGTTTGGATTTTTAATTTATGTAGAAAAAAATATATAAGAGAGAATTTTCATTACAATATGATTATAGGGGAGTTAAAAATACATGATTTGTAATTCATACCCACTTAAAAGTTTAAGACTATAAATACCCTTCACACAGGCTCACAACATAATAACACAACCAATTTATACACAAAATTAACCAGTTAGCATTTGTCATTTGCTAAAACTCCAACTATTGTTATATTTTAACAATGAGTGATGACAAATTACTTAGTTTAGCATTGTTATTTTAGTGATATCTTTGTTATATTTTTTGCTTTAATCACAACCATTGAATTCTGATTTTCTGTACTTATTCATAATCACTCATTATCATCTCTATGTATGACTGATGAATTGACAATTTCACTACAACTATTCCTTGTGTGAAAAAAATAACAATGCAATGTTAAATTATTTTAATGTAACATGAATATTGAAGAGGTGATTTTATAAGTTTTTGCTTCTTTTGTTTTTTTGTTACAATGACAAGAATTTTACTTTTAATCATTAAAAAAACTCTAACAAATCTTACAAATTATTCATATTGACATTATAGGAGTATTTGATAATCTGATTCAATATTTAAATTGAATATATTAAGTGGTAATCAAATTACACTCATTTGATAATTATAATTGATATCACTTAAAAATTTAATTTTTTGAAATGTAAACTAAAATTTAAGAAAATTATAAGTCATATGAAACGTACTTAATTTTGCCTGAATTTATAAATACTAAACATAAATATTGATATACACTATTATAAACTCACTACCACTATCACCACCACCACCTGCATGCCACAACCACCACTACCACCACCTTCACCATCATTGTCATTATTACCATAAGTATCACTATCATTTTATTATCACCACCATCACTTCCATTACCACCACTACCATGCCACAGTCACCGCCACAGCCACCACCACTATCATATCATCACCACCACAACTACCACACTATAACAAAAACATACTTTAGTGACACTACACTAGTGGCATATTTTTAGAAAATGCCACAAAAAATAATATTTAGTGGCACGTTTTTTAAAAATGCCACAAAACGACAAACATAAAAGGCTCTAGTGACATTTCAATGAATAAGTGTCACAAAACTACAACAAAAACATACTTTAGTGGCACTACACTAGTGGCATATTTTTAGAAAATGCCACAAAAAATGATATTTAGTGGCACTTTTTTAAAAATGCCACAAAACGACAAACATAAAAGGCCTCTAGTGACATTTCAATGAACAAGTGTCACAAAACCACAACAAAAACATACTTTAGCGGCACTACACTAGTGGCATATTTTTAAAAAATGTCACGTTTTCTCTCTAATCTAGGTAAAGAACATTAGGCAGCGGTAAAATGGATTCTAAGAT